GAGCCATAGAACCCTTTCATCATCTTTGGGGCGTGTTTTTGCATTGGCCCTCGGCCAATAATCCCTTTGAGAGCGTTTCCGACTTAATGAAAGTTCGTTTTGAAAGCGGCGACCGTCCAGCAGTAGAAGCAGAACGTATACAGATTTCGAGAAATAAAATCACTCACTTACATATTCGGACATAAGCATACTACTAACCTTGCGAAAGTGTGGTCCCTTTCTAGCCACAAAAAGTCTTGGAAAAGTGGCCACCAGATTCGGTCACAGTTTTAAAGACGTAGCTAACCCCGATTGTCTGCATAAAACTGAAGATAACATATTAGCAAATGAAGTATTTAAATCAATTTCTGATTTTCTGATACTGCGAATGATAGTTTCAAGATGCCATTGAATTGCATTTACATGTACTGTGAATGCCGGCGTACCTGCTAAGGTGGTTGTCAGCTTACCGGTATCAGGAAAAGAAGGTAAGTTTGAAAAGGAATAGCATTAATTATGACAACTGATTACTATATTCCGGGTATTCGATTCTCACCATTAGGATCGCGGAAACGGTAAGCGATACCAAGTCGCTTGATTGAGAGCAAAGTTGTGCATTTAAGTAACTAAGAAAATTACACTTGGATGGGAGAATGAAACCGAATTTTCCTAAAACAGTTTTTATTTTTTCCTGGGTTTATTTGAAATAGCATTTCAAAATAAAAGGTACAACAACATTGTCAAGTATTCTCCTCTACAAGATGGTAATTAAAATCTGGATATGAAGTGGCATGACAAACTAAATGTTTTTGATACTGCCTTTTAAACGAAACAGTGCTAAGGATGGACGCTTCTGCCTATCTCTGGGTAGAGCCAACCTAAGGATGCTGGTGGGACTGTTGTCTGGCCATAACACGTTAAGGCGTCACCTGCACGTGATGGGGGTGGCTGAGGATCCCTTGTGCGAACGCTGCGGAGCAGAGGAAGAGACCTCGGCGCACGTTTTGTGTCGCTGTGAAGCTCTGAGCTACTATAGGCAGACTATACTGGGTTCCATTCCTTTTGACCCTCAGGAGGTCAAGGAGCTTGGACTCAAGGCGATTCTCAACTTCGTTAAAAGGACGAGGCTTGTGATTTAAGGATTATAGATTTGCATAAGGGCCCGCTTAAGCGGCCTATGCACTGGCTCCTTATGGTGGCTAGGATGCCTCTAATTTTAAGATTCATTCAGAAACGAAACAGCCGCTATAATACTGATGTAAGATTATATAATTCACACCCTTAGTGAATCTAAATAGAAGACATAGATAGAAAACACGGCATTTCATGAATTGTTCATATAGCAAAGACAACTGCGATAACTATCAGGTATAATGGAAGAAAGAACGTTTTCCATACATCCAGCGATAATTGCGCTTCCTCAGCGGCTATGAAAAAACATGAAAATAAATTCTAAAATAGATAAAACCGTGTCACATTGGTATAATTTACATAACGAATAAAGATATTGATCTACGGTTTTTGCCATTTTCCAGGATTTGTTACGCATTTTCCGATCAACTATATCGCTGTATTTGGAACTTCCGATATTGTCAAAAAAAAAACGCTGACATATCTAAGAAGCACCATCTAGCGGCCACAAAATGAACTAATCCGGCAAAATTGATCATTTGTCAGCACTTTTTTTAAAATATCAATCAACCATTCCTTCACGATAAACTAAGCAAAATATGAAAAGAATACACGGCTAATTCTAATGTCATTTAAAAATTTTTGGGCTGTTGACCGTGCTCGGGTTGTTGGATTTGTTACAGAGCTTTCGGCTACATCTGCGGTAGCCATCATTAGTGGTGGCGAGAGCGAAGTGCTCGGCTTGGCGGGGTCGAGTGAAAATGATCAGTCAACTGCATGGGGGCGGGGTTTCGTAGGCGATAGGCGGACTGGGTACTGAGCTGTCTGGTGGGGGCGCTCTGGTTTCTTTGAGTGACATGGTTGTTCTGCTGTGTGTTTCAGAATTGAGGACCATGTTTTGTTTAAAGCAAGCCCTTCTTATTCTCTATTGAAGTTATCATTGTGTTTGTAGATTTCAAATGCTTCCCTGTAGATTCGAGCTGAGTAGTGGGTAGAGGTTGATAGGACTTCATTTTGATCGAACAGAACATTGTGGTCGTCTTGGAGTGCGTGTTCGGCCACCGCTGATTTATCATTTTTTCCCAGACGACAGTTTCTCTCATGCTCCTTGATGCGTGTTTGAAAGCTACATTAAGTGGTGCCTACGTATGCTTTATCACAGAAACAGGGTATTCTGTATATGCCGGCACCGCTCAGGGGGTCCCTAGGGTCCTTTACTGATATTAGACGTGATATACACAGATATTGCGAAAGCCTTTGATCGGGTTGATCATTATATATTGCTGGCAAAGCTTGAAGCGTTAGGATTATCAGCCTCTATGTTGACTCTCTTACGGTCATACCTTGCTGATAGGTCAGTATATGTTGAATTTGATGGAAGTAAGTCCAAAATTTATACAGCAACATCTGGAGTTCCACAAGGTTCGAACTTAGGACCCTTGTTATTTCTTATTTTCATTAACGATCTATCTTTGCAGCTAACCTGTATGCACTTGCTTTTTGCTGACGACTTGAAGATATTTTCGCCAATTCACTCTTCGAGTGACTGTGTGGAGATGCAAAGCAAGCTTGACTTCATATATGAATGGTGCAACAGAAATCTGCTAACGTTAAATGTCAAAAAATGCAAAGTGGTGTCGTATAGTCGGAAGCAGGACCCCATCATATACAATTATAGCCTTAATGAAAGCATTTTAGGAAGAGATTCAAGTTTTAAAGACTTGAGTGTAGTGTTCGATAACAAACTCACTTTTAACGATCACATAGCAGATATTGTATTGTAATCCTTCCTTTCCGCAAAAAGTCCAGAAAAGATGGAATGCAATGAAGATTCCAACTTTTCTGCACAATCACAGAAAGGGGGTTACCGGTTGCTCAGTCGGTGGCATGAAGACATCTACAGGCGTGTAGCTGTGTATCGACCATGGCATGACAGAGGATAGAAGAACAAACAGAACACAAAAATTCAACAGATTTTATTGAACTAGAAAAGCATTTTCATTACATTTGAGAATTAACATTGTTTAAATTTTAAAGAACAAAATAAAAGATTTAAATCTTTGGCGCTGTTACAAGATTATCCACTTATCTTTCGCTAAGCTGGTCCATTTTGACTGGACTGAAGCGAGGATGGCCAAGGGCTTTAAGTGGAGGTCCCAGTTATGAGGGGTGACCTCATATTTAGTGGCTTCAAAACTAGATGTAGGCGAAGGATGCAGTGAAGTTGAGCTTAAAGGTGATTTTCATCAAGGCTGAAGCTGTAAGTGATGGCGCAGCCAAGGCACATGCATGGGTGAAGGCACGGCAAAGTGATAGGCCAAGCAATAGGTAAGCCAAAGTATGGATGAAGGCAAAGTCAAAGTCAAAGACAAAGGAAGGCAAAGTCAAAGACAAAGGCAAAGGCAAAGACAAAGGGGGTGGCCCCAATCTGAAAAAGAACCGTGTGCATTAGCAACGTGCCCCAATGGCCAAGGCATTTCCAATCTCAGTCTGCCTCAAAAGAGAACCAACGATTTTCTAGGTTAGAATTACATTACATAGTTTGATAAAATCAAACCGAAAATTGGAAATGCCTTTCATAAAATAAAATCATGAAATAGCAAAATAGCGTAAAACAAGATGGTGGTCATCAAAAATTTCTCCACATGCTTCTGATATAAAAACACAAATATCAAATATATTCATAATCAACGTACTCATAATTTCACTGAACTATGGATATATATATATATATATATATATATATATATATATATATATGTATATATATATACGCACACAGAGGTAAAATCGATGTGGATCGATTTCTACCTCGATTTGATTAAAGTTATGGCGAATGATCGAAGTAGTCGAAAATGACGTTCGATGGATATTTTGAAATCGTACAAGAGATAAACCACTAACATATCGATTACCTATAAACTACAGGCAGATCCAGCAATAAAACTGTATAGTATATTAAAACTCACCATTTTATCCTATTCAGACACACATTTTACTAAATGCTAGCACATGGTGCTATATGACCTCATGCTACAGAGAACAAAATTCTCAGTTGTTGTTAGATCGGCGGCTGAAGTGAAAAGAAAGCGCGAGGAAGATCACAGATCAGGAACTCAACACGTGGATGTTTTTGCCCGCATCAAGCGCGCTCCAAGCGGAAATTTTTCCAAGTAAAAAAGCTAGAGATGGGCTTAATGAATGAAATGAAAATCGAGAAGTGATTTAATAAATACAATTGGACGGTGAAACCGTTACAGTATCATCTGCATCACGGTTGATGGGTTATTGTGTACGTAACTGGTCCGGTTTCTCTAATGTGGACTGTTTAAGAATATTGTATCTTTAATTTATCAGGACTAAGTTAGAGTATCCGTCCTTAGTATGGTCCCCTCTATATCAGGATGCAATCCGTAAACTGGAGGCTGTACAACGTAAAGCTCTAAGTATTGGTGTTTTAAGTGCAGTGGTAGATACCCAGAGAGAGGATTTGATCATGACGTTTTATTGGAGTTTTTTGGCATTGAATCACTAAGGAATCGTCGTGACGCTCAAGCTCTCACATTCCTTTATAAGTTAATGAATAATCATATTGATTGTGGGTTCCTACTGAGTAAGATTAATTTTCATGCTCCCAGATTAGTTGGTCGGCATAATCACATATTTTACTGTGATACACCACGGACGAATATTTTATGCAGATCCCCAGTAATGGTAATGTGTACCTTATTCAATTCAATCTGTAACAGAGCTGATGTATGTCATGACAGTCTTAATAAAATATTAAACATTTACAGGGAGCAATTGAGATAAAATGGTTTTGTTGATGGTGTCATCTATTGTTATTCTTCAATTGGAGCACTTTTATGTTTTTTTCTTCTTTTTTTTAGAAATGTTTAATTGTTGATACACCTATGTATTATGTGTTCATTCAGATCACTGAATTTTTTTCTATTTTCTTTTTTTTGTTATTATTTTTTGATTCATTGTCTATATATATATATATATATATATATATATATGTATGTGTATATGTATATATGTATATATGTGTGTGTATACATGTGTATATATAGTACCATTTTGTTTTGATTTCACCAATTTCCTGTGATTGGGTGTATACCTGTTGGAAATAAATATATTATTATTATTATTATTGTTGGTCTTGTTTGTTTCCTCTCGTCTCTGGACGGTTTTCAGGAGTAAACACGGAGCTCGACAGGAGCTCTGAGATATTTACCCTAGCACTTTCCTTAGGATATGTGCGGTACCTAACAATGCAATCTTTTGGATTTCAGTTTCCTTGGGCCGGCCTGGTAACATCTGAAAATAGTTGTTTAGACCTATTAATTGTTCCCAGGGCGCCCACTACTATGGGTATAGTTTTAGCTCTAACATGTCACATTCTACTGATCTCTATCTCTAGGTCTTTATATTTTGAGATCTTCTCAGATTCTTTCAGCAGCACGTTTGTGTCATCAGGTAGTGCGATATCTAGCAGAAGGCAGGCCTTTTGTTGTTTGTTGTGAATCACAATATCAGGCCGATTTGCTCGGATTATTCGATCGGTGATAATAGGCACGTCCCACATGACAGTGGTGTTGTCGTTAAGACTTAGTACTTTTTCTGGAACGTGCTCGTAGTACTTGCTAGCCACGGGCAACCCTAAATCTTTACATATGGTCCAGTGGACATAGCTAGCGACGTTGTTATGCCTGTGCGTGTACTCGCTGGGCGCCAGCACCTTGCAACCTGCTATTACGTGACTGATATGTTCTTCTGCCTGACCACATACTCTGCACTTGCTGTCTGTTGTCTGCTTCAAGATGTTTGTTGTATAATATCGTGTTTTTAGTACCTGGTCTTGTGCTGCAACTAAAAGACTCTCAGTCTCGCCCTTTAGTCAAGAGCTCTGTAACCACGCCATTGTCGCCTGTTTGTCTATGGATGGCTTATCGAGGTTTCTGAAAAATTGACCGTGCAGAGGCTTGTTTCTCAAGACTTGCTTTTTTTCGATTTCGATTTTACGGCGCATCATGTCTTTTATGTTTTGACCGAACCCATCAGTGTTGAGATACTTAGCTTTGATTTTTATAGCTTCCCTGTGAAGCGAGTATTTCAGTTTTTTCTCATCATGATGCCTAACAGCTTTCAGAAGCTTATCGTTACTGGATCTTATATATTCGCTTAGCTGAACTATCTCCGAGTTGAAAGCAGACTCAAGCTCTATCAGTCCTCTCCCGCCTTCACGCCTTCTGACATTATTATTATTATTGTTATTATTATTATTATTATTGTTATTATTATTATTAGAAGTTGCTGGATTTCATTTGTCGGCTTGTAGATAGTCTTGACGTTGTGTTCCCGCAGCAACCTTCCTATTCTATCCGTAATGCCTTTCATGTATGGTAGGAAGGATATTCTCGTAGGTGGTTCCTTGTCTCCTGCCGGAAGTCTGCTTTTTTGTCGTGAAACCTGTTTTATTTGTTCCCTCCGATAGCCGTTTGCTTATAAAACCATTTTCACATGTAAAACCAGTTCCAACCGCAGGTATTGAGGTTTACAAATTCGGTGTACCCTGTCTTTAAATTTTTAATGATGCCTTTTTTTTGTCCGGGATGATGGTTGGAGTGCCTGTGTATATATCTGTTAGTGTTTGTTGCTTTGCGGTAAACTCTGTGACCCAGCTTTAAGTTCTCTCGTCTGACCACCAGCAAGGTCAGTTGATTGTCCTCTTCTATCTCCATTGTGAAAAATTGCTATTTAGGTGATTTAGGAGCATTGCTATCTCTGTTCAAGATCCACACATTACTCAGCCAGAATGTACATAGAAGCAATTGAAATGTACAGACACATGTACAGATAATTTCAATAGAAAAGAAGAAGGCTTTGCTTAAAAAAAAACGTGGTTCCCAATTCTAAAAAACACAGCACAAAAGACACGTCACTCAAGGGACCCCAGACAGCTCAGTCCTCAGTCCGCCAATCGTCAGCCCGAAAAACCTAAATGACAAACAAAATAGTTCGGAAATGGAGCTGTCAGTGCGATAAGACCATTTAATGAGTATGATAATTATGATTTTTTGCAAAATTATTGCGTTTGAATTTTTGAAATCGGTATGGCGCCACCTAGCTGAAAATTTCCAGCAATTTCTTTTGGTGGTTTTTTTTAACCGAGATGCACCCGGTGAGTCTTATTATTGGCTCACCGTACATATCATGACATGGATTAGTATTATAAAATTTAAAAAATCTTAAAAAGTTATCTTCTTATACGAGTAGTTGACCTTAACTCATCCGATAAAGGAAAAGTTAATGCTAAAACTCTCTTGTATTATTTAAGAGTCGTATTGCAAGGATTATAAATAGTATTGCTTTATACAATTCATAGAAGCGTTTTGGAATAAATCCCGACCATGCTGCTGCTTCTTGAACACGTTTCATATCCCCCATATCTAAACCGATGCACACATCTTGCATTTAAATACCATTGCCTCCATCCTGCTTACGATCATTTTAGTGGATAAACGAGAAAATTATCTGAATGTCCTTCAAACACGCTTCTAAAAAATTTAAGCATTGGTTATTTAATCTGGTAAACAAGTGATCATTTTCAAAGCCAACTATGGCAATCCTAGTTTTTTCGAAATAACTCAAGTTTGACAATGTCAATGCATGACGCACTATACATTTTTGGAAATATTTAGTAGGCCTTTATGAGAGAAAGTAAAGTCAATGATTGAGGACAAGAGACGAAACATCATTTAAAAATTTTGATTATGCCATCTTGTACAGAAGAACAAGTGGCAATTATGACGTTTTTTATTTTGCACTCCTATCTCGAATAAAGCCAGGAAGAAATAAAAACGCATTTGGGATAATTCGGTTACTTTCGGAGATAGTAAGAATTGCGAAACCTTGCCATTTTCTTAATATTTTAAATACGAAACTTTACCTCCATTCAACCAACTTCATATCTCTTACCATTGCTGGGGCTCCAATGGAGAGAATTAAATTTGAAAGACTCCGTATACTTTTAAGATAGTACTACAAAGTAATGTCCAGTACACCTCTCGCCGGCCTTAAGTTCTGTCAGACGCTTTAATTAAGGTGACCCGCTATAAATTGCGCTCATGTCAAGGTTTTGAATCATCGATATCAAAAAGTAACGGTATTAGTTTATGACAAATATTCAAATATAACGATATCGATATCTACTGCCCAAGCATTTATGGTCCGCTGACGAATTGGACTGCGCGAATTTAGATATCCCGCGTTGGCGTCAGTTTTGCGAGGGATGAAACGAAATGTAATTACGCTCTATGGTACGTGTACACTATAGATTTTTCCCCGAGATTTGCGCTAGCTAGAGTCGCTTTAGACTAAGTCTATAGTGTACTTATTACTGAGACTGCTCTAGCGAGTGTGGCGTAATACTCTCGGTAGCGCGACGTTAGTCTAGGTAGGGTTGTAGTGGACACAGTACTGAGACTAGTTCTCTAGATCACTCTCGCATTGTTTCGCTCTATTCGATGAGTTAAATAGATTAGTTGAAAGCATGGCTTCCCCACCAAGTGTAAATGACCAAAAAGCTATGAAATGGGACAGAGAAAGTACTCTCAAGCTAATTGAGATGTACGAGGCACATCCAGAACTTTGGAATTGCATATTGAAGGAGTACAGAGATCGGGATAAAAAGGCTCAAGCTATAAAAAATATAGCAGATCAGTAAAAATACACTGAAGCCGAAGTTGGAAGAAAATGGCATAATTTAAGGTGTCAAATGAATTCGGAGATAAGGAAAATTAAAAAAACCAAAAGTGGAGATGGAACTGATGATAGACTGTGGAAAAGTAAGTAGGAATTTTATGATGCGTTACAGTTCATGATGGGTGGCTCTGGGAGCACCAAAAGCACTGCAAGCTTTAGGGATACGGCGAGTAAACATTTTTTCAGCATTAGAAACATATATTACATTAAGCAGATAAAATGGTATTATGTTTATATATATTTATACTTGCCAGGCGACTTCACCATGTTTGGATACAAAATAATTTTTAAATTGTTCTCGTACTTCTTTGGCTGGTTTCGATGGGTTTCTAACATTTGTAGTCTGTAAAGCAACCATATTAGCTATAGGATCTCCTCCATTTCTCCAACTCCAATTGATAACGTTCCCATCATTTTCAGTATCAAGTATTCCATTTGGGGCATATAAATGTGCCGAACTTTTTTGGGTCAGTAAGAAATTATGCAAAGAACATATTGCAAGTACAATCTTTTTAACCTTCTCTGGAGGTAGGTCTATTGGTCGTCTAAGAACACGAAATCGAGCCGAGATCAGTCCGAAAGCATTTTCAACTACACGCCTTGCTCTTGATATTCTGTAGTTAAAAACCCGATCAAATCCGGGTTTTTGAAAGGAAAAGGTTTTAATAAATAGGAAGTCAAGGCAAAAGCATCATCGGCAATAACAACAAAAGGTGCATCTTCAGATTCAACATCTTGACAATGAACAGTTTGCATACACGCCACCATCAGATATGCGTCCATTGTATCCGACATCCACATAAAGAAATTTGTATTTTGCATCAACTAGTGCCATGAGGACTATGCTATGTGTTCCTTTATAATTAAAATAAAGACTGCCTTTATTCCTTGGTGCTTTCATAACCACGTGCTTGCCATCTAGAGCACCTAAACAGTTTGGAAAATTCCAAATCTCCTCAAATCCCTTTGCAACTTCATACCATTCTTCCTGAGAGTTTGGGATCTAAAAGAAAAAGTAATATTACAAAACTATAAATAAGCTTATTCGCTACTTTTGTTTTACTTCAGATTTCGTCGCAAGAGGAAGATTTTCTGGAGGAGTCTCAATTACAAAGCATAGAAAAACCAACAACATCAAATACTACAACTCATCGTTCGAAAAAACTAAAAATCAAAGCCAAGGAAAAAACGGACGAGGAAGGTGATGCAATGCTAGAAAAGGCCAAAAACATACTAAATGCACCAACTGACGAGTATACTGTATTTGGTGAATATGTTGCTAGTGAATTACGGCAGCTGCGTTCTGATGAACGAAAAAGAAGATTAAAACGAATAATCCAGAAAGCTATAGTTGCAATGAGCGAGGAAGATGAAGTGGAGTTTTCTGGATCAAGAACACTTACACCTTTAATGTCGCCTACTTATTCACATTCGAGTACATACCCATCAACTTCAAATACGGTTGAAAGTTTTGAAGAGGCACCGATAACAAATACAACTACAAACCTTCCTCCAATCACGCAGTTTTACGAAAATGACTTACCTGGAGATAATCCGTTTTCAGCACAGTAAATATCGCTTCACAAACTTCAGGTATAATCCTTGAAATGGTTGTGACTGGAATCCGAAAAAGGTATTACAGGGAATGATAGCTATCTCCTACAATTAAAAGTGATTTAATTAGAAGTTGTTTTTGTTTGCTTTTCAAGTTAAATACATCCTAGAAAGCAATCATGTCTTTCAATACTCACCTGTTGCTAAACCGTAAAGTAAGCATGAGCCGTTCTGAAGGTGAAATAGCTAGCCTAAGATGAGTATCTTGTTTTCTAATCAATGGTTCAACTTTTTGAAGCAAGTATTCATAGTCCTTACTACTCATGTGTAAAAAGTTAGCGTATGAAATCATGTCTTCGCTGTGTAATTCTTTCACCAATTGAGCAAAAAAACCACTATCCTGTCTTCTTGAAATCCAGCTTCTAACCCACATCCTTCTCTTGTTGTTTTTTAGCTCAACATTTTTTCTCTTCTTCGTTATTAAAATAACAGAGGCAGCTGCAATTTTCTTAATTCGCGACATTTCAAACTACTTCCAACAAACTACGGTGCAATAATGCCTATACGTTTTTACGAGATCAAATCTACCATGTTATGTCTAGCGAGGGCCAAAATATGCTATAGTGTACACAGAACAGAGACAAGTCTCACCTAGAGAACGTATCTAAATGTAAAATCTAGGTAGATTTTCTCTACAGTGTACACGTACCAGAAGAATTAGTGATCGGCGCATGGTAGATACACCATGTAAAAGACACCATAGTAACACACGTGTACAGTTTTGTAATTTCATACCACTTGGTATTCATGTAGATAATGTAAACAAAGTAGAAAATGTAATAGCAAATGTTAGTTCAATTAGCTCGCTTCCATACATGCAACCCCTATGAAAGTGATTTTTGGATAATTAGAAAAGGTATAAATATAGATAACATCATCATTTACAGCAGTTGACATTCTAAAGAGGAATCTAATTAAAACATCGTGCGGTACCTTAGTGCTTAGCCATTTCAACCATTGTAGATTTATGTTGTTTTTGAAAATGCGACGAGTTCAAAATAGCTGTTGTAAGCTGGCATATGGAATCAGGAAGTATGACCCAATATCGCACGAAATTAAAGAGAGGTAATGGCTTAACATGAGTAATAGCGCCTTCACCTGTGTAATTTTACGCATAGATTGTATCAACAGTCCAAATCCTCCAGGACTAGTTAGACATTTCATACCTCGCAAACTTGCTCACCATCTGAACGATCAAAATGAAACTTCACAGCTCCTCAGCATATGTTCCAAAGATCGTTCATATATAATGCGATCAGGATGTATAATCAGCTTCCACAAAGGTTCAAGCTTTTAAAAACGTTATTTGTTTGATATGCTGTAGGATCAAAGATAATACTCATCAAATTCAATTCTTTTTTATTCCTTCATTATTGTTTATAGATCTAGGTGGATATCAAAAGTCGTTAGGTCTATCTTTAACATAAAATTTATTGCTCCTGTCGGTATAAATTCGTTATGATAGCAAAAAGTCAAAAGCATTATAACTACTTGTATGTTTATTTGCGAATGCCTCTGTCACTAAACTCGTCTTGGAAAACCTTATATACCATATATTTTTTGTTTATCTACTTCTTCGATTCTTTGATTTAATTCTGGCCTAATTGTGTACTCATTTGGGCGCTGCCGTCCTGAGGTTAAGTAGAACAGCTTAAGGTAGACTTCGCCACTGTTATTGTATTATATTATCATATTTCCTTTGTTAATGAAAATCAATAAAGGCGGTTTATTATTACTATTATATCTATTATGTATGTATATATTCAAAGTGGTAGCCTTAAGTTAGGGACATTTCTAAGATTAAATAAAATATATTTCAGAAACAGAATCGAGCCATTTGACTGATTTTATTCAAAGTCATCAGAATCACTATTAATTAGACCACCAAGGCCGTTATCTGTCATTAATACAAGTTAATCTACCTGTGAGATTTCAAGCGATATGGATAAGACAACTTCTCTGTGTATCTGTGCACAACTCGACAGAACATTCTCTTCCATCTTTGAACAGAATGCTTTGGTTTGACGTTGACCAGTTGCATCACATGGCCAAAGTAACAACGAAAATGTGGAATGGTGCCTTTATTTTCGGAAGAATTGTCTGACTATCCAATTGATGCCTGATGATGCTTTTAGAATGTCAGGTATCTAGGAAAAGGGATGGCTTCCAACAGAATCGGCTGCGAAACAGCTACAAGGCAGCTACAAAACAATGGTGAGTGGGGGTTCTCCGCAATGGTTTTCCACTAAAAGGAAGCAAATATTAAACAACTTTCTTCAGGACAAGCATTAATGGACCAAAAACCAAAACAACTAATCACAAGGTACAACATAAAAGGGTACTACTCCAAAAATCCAGAATCTGGAAGCTAATGAAACGACACCCACACCACAAACTCCGCAGGAAGGCAAAAGCAAAAATGTCGCTGGGCGCATCTGTACACAACCAAAAGAAGGTATCTTGATAGTAAATCAGTTTTCAAAAGAAGGTATCTTGATAGTAAATAAAATTTTAACAGAACGTATCTTCATAGGAAAGTAAACATTAAAAGAAGGCTAAATGAATCGCCTTGAAGGAGGTATCTTGATAGAACCAAATATTCCTATACTGCTAGTACGTGTAAAGTCATAAGGTGGCGCGCTGGTTGCCAACTCTCTTGGAGGAACCAACAAAATTTTATGAGGAAATTTCGAAGATAGTCGTTAATAATACTATAACATTAGAGACCAAAAGATTTCAACACTCTGCTGAATCGCTGAGAAAGAAAGATAAAGTACATGTGAAATTATACAATCAACAATCTATGAAATTTGCCAAAAGAAAATCATTGAAAAAGGGTTTGGTCTAGGAATCGGTACTATATAATCAATAAAGAGACATTCAAATTATTGATAAGTGATCAAAATAGTAAGAAAAAAGGTTACGTGATTTTGGCACGTAACACAGTGGTCTGCATTTTTATCGTAAAGTTTCTGGTTAAATGCGTCGAATTCATATTTTCATATTCACAATTATTTTCAAAGTGTCTAGCTATAGATGAAGTCAACTACAAGCTGCTATGAACTTTCCTTTCTACGCTTTCCTGTGATCTTTATTATTCAGGAATATCTCAAATGTACGTTGGGGTCATACATTTTCAGTTTTTTACCATCCTCCATTGTCTGGTATCGGTTTAATGCGTGCTTGATTAAAAAAACAAAAACGGTGAAAAAACAAAACCTTACAATCTTGACCCATTGTGATTTTCGATATCCCCATTATTTCGGAGCGTATATCACCGAATAAAAAGCTAGTGCATGAGGGACCAGGGGATTTCAAAAATGAGTAGCTCAGGTGCATGACACTCTAGAGCAGTGGAACGGTATTGACAGGTGGTAGGCAGTACCGACTCACTCCGAGTAACACAAATGCGGCAATGGAGAGCGACTCTGGTTCATTAATATTTTGACGTTTGAGAGGAAACTTAACCTCACTTGTTTGCATTGTACACGTACTGTTGACATTGTCCACGCATTGTCTACATCAAAACCTTGACAATCAATGTAAACGCAAAAACGCCCTTCGATAAGAAGAATATGGTTTGACCACAAGTGACTCTACTGTTTCCAATCTGTATACTTTAGTAGAAGCATTCCGGAAAAGACGCTGATCCTAAATTACAAAGGCTCATTAGTCCTCCTCGATGTTTGCATTGCCAGACACGCTGCTGTTCTGGCTAAGGATCCTTCCTATTGAAGTCCTGCCTGGGTGTTTGATTGTCCTTCTGTGAAGTTAATGGGTCTAAAGACATCTAAGACTTAACATGCGGTGGACAAAATAAGACATCATCGAGCTGACAGTGGAATATGATCCCTTCTACATCGTTTGTCAGGTCAAAAGAGAATTGTTCGATTGAAATTTATATTGTTCCTCAACTCAAATCAACGTCGTTCGACTTGTCGGTGTCTGGGATCCGGCGATGTGATTTCCATCTATATAGTCTAGCAGGGTAAATGTAATTTGTGTGGCGAGATCTTGGACACGATCACTGACAAGTTGGCGACAGCCATAGGAACAGGGCTAAAATGTCTGTTGTTTTAGTTTGTTTTCATATTGCATGTATCAAGCACATCCACCACGCACCCAGGCATCCAGCGAATAGCAACAAAAGCCACGTGTATTAACTACACCCTGTGCTAGGAGATGGTGCAACACTAGTTCATTTTCATTGTGCGCTGCTCGCTAGAATAGGACGAGGAGCACAAGCGACATTACTGTATGAATAGTGCCGTTCGATGGTGTTGCGTTGAGCTTGAAGTTTTATCTTAGCGCCCAGTTTAAAGGGGCTAGTGCTGCGCCACCCCTTGGAACGCTATGGTGCTTACGCGTAGCACGGTCTTGGAGTTAGCTGTCCACGACCATTGTGGCTGAAGGCTATAAAAAAAGTGGAGATGTTCCGTTTTCACTTCAAAACAGCTGAACCGACCTTGACGAATTTTAGCATATACAGGGCGCTTCAAATTCGACCCTCACCATTGGGATCTCAGAAACTGGAAACTGTAAGAGATACGAAGTCGCTTAAATGGGAGCAAGGCTGCGTACTTAGGTAATCAACAAAATGCGGCTTAGAAAGTTTCGAAATCCGAAATACTTCCCGGAAGAGACGGAAAAAACAGAATTTGCCCAAAATCGTTATAATTTTTTCTTGAATTTATTTGTAGTTTGATTTTAAAATAAATTGCCACTTTTCCCCCTCGACAAGAAGGAATAATTGTAATTTCAATATGACGTTTCGGTTTCTGTCCTCCACCATGAAATTTATTCTTTCTCATGGACGTCATATTGGGTTTTTGCACAGATGAATAGAGTTTCAATTCTGATTCCAAAACTGTATAATACGTCATACATTGAAATTGCCAACCATCAGTTATTTAAAAAAAAGACAATTTTCTAGGTGGGCCTTGAAATTATCAGATAGTCATTTGTTTCAAGATTTCAAGATCTTTTTTTATATCGAAGTAGCCGCGCAGGCAGAAGCCCAAAGTCACTTTAATTTTTCCCAGCTTTATTTACATGCTAACATTGCCATTTTTTCTTCTCTACAAGATGGCATAATCAGAATTTCGTTATGACGTTTCGTCTTTTTGGCCCCAAGCATCAACTTTATTTTTTCTTACGGATGCTATATTGGATTTTTACGCAGATGAGTAGAGTTTTTAATTTTGATTTCTAAAATGTGTAATATGTAACATATCGATATCACCAAACCTCAGTTATTCTAGAAAAATAGTAAGTCCTAGGTAGATCTTGAATTTATCAGATTTAGTTGGCTCGAATTGAACGTGGCAATGGAGTTTGGAAGACTGACAAGTAGAGAAATAAATCGAGCAACAATGTACAGAGGAGAGTCAGGCTTTGCTCACAAAGTAACGGACAACCTTTTGAATATCTGTTATGATTTACCTCTAATCGTGT